CCTAAAATTCAACTGATCTGAAAACATGTTTCTGTTCAAACGAACTTTTGAGAAGTACTTAATTTGTAGAAAGTTTTGCAATGTTGAGTGTGTTTTTCTGTTTTGTGATATACTGAGAGAAAAAAAAACAAATAAATACTCTTAATCTGAGGTTACTTGATATCACTATATTCTTATTTTAAAATCATTCCTTGCGTTTTTGAAATCACCAGGTTATTGCCTTGTTTTTAGTGATGTGGATGCTATCATTACGTTCTAGACCCTTTTTCGTTTTTTCCTGGTTCTTGGAACATTTCCTCATTTTGTAGTAGGAAAATAACGGAACGTTTGCTGTGGAAACCAGTTACATCGATGTCTATTTGTTCAAGTTGAAAGTGTAGGTAGTAGAAAAATTCAAGAAATCACAAAAAGCAGACTATTAACTTCAGAAATCGGAGATTCCAAGAATGTTATGAAAGACCTCAAGAAAATTGCCAACTTGAAAAATACAAAGTGTTACACGGAAATCATGGGTACTTTTGGCAAAATATAGATGCATTTATTTTATATTTTCTAGCCCTTTTGTTTCATATTTTACAGCTTCTACGCACGAATTCATCAAACTCCCTCTATTAGTCACTGAAATACAGCGAAAATAAAAATGATTCAGGTTTATGGTGGAATATATCGACATAACAAGTTCTCCTTTAACGGCGCTCGTGTATGCGAGGTATTGATCGCAGGTCACAGGCAGCTGGATCTAGAATTTACTGGAAGCCCGAAAGCTGCAACTACGCGTAATACGTCATCCTGTTCTCACATATACTGTGGGTATATTTTCTATCTCACTTTGTAAGCAGCTGCGTGTCTATAATCAATGCAGACGGTTTTGTCCCCCACTGTATGATACTCCCGTCCGGAATTTTCCATGGGAAACAGAGGGGCAGACAACGGCTATAGATTTTACAAGTAGGAGAGCGGTGTTGCCAAACGTAATAAAAATTCTGCCAACCAAGAACTCTAGCCCAATTTTCTAATCAAAATAAAATATACATATATAGTGTAAACAAAGAAAATTCTTTCAAGCTGACATGACAGATCCATTCTAAACATTTTTGTTGTAATAAGCACTCTCTTTGAGGCATAGGGTACTCCCATAAAGGATCAATTTTCAAATCGACACACAATGAATGTGTTCAACTTCCGATTGTCTGTGAACAAGATAATTATGAAAGTTTCAAAATTATGATTTGTTCCCCTTGCGTTTTAGCAAAAGAATATCCATACTAAAATCAAATTTGTTGGAAGAATTTTTTGAGTGTTATTCTATTCGAAGTAGGTATAGGTATTATAGGTACTCGTATAAATATAGCGTATTGAGGTCTCATTTACGCCCAGTCAAAACAAAAGCGACAAGCGAATAAAGTAAGTAAAAGAGGTTTGTATAGACTTTAGTATTATAATTCTTGAAAATTCAACAAAGAAATTAGTTATCTGACTACCTTCAATGCACTTTGCTTAGTTCTTCGACTTTATTTGGATATAAAACAATACTTGAGAATTCTACATATAAGTTATCCCAGTACTTGCTATGTACTTTTTTAGTTCTTCGAATTTTTTGGATACAAAACAAGTATTATAAAGTCTCTTTTTTCATAATGTCAACGTCATTTACTTGGCGCCTTCTTTAGGGTCAAAACACATGAAAAAGTACATTTATAAAATTCAAAATCGTACATGATGCCAAAAAATTAAGTTAAAAAAAACCATAGAATAAATAATAACAATGACAATAAACGTGTATACATATGTATAAATAGTCATTATATGATTTTCAGATTCAAATTATTGAAAAACTTCTCATAAAATGGAACATTACGAAAAAACATATTTAGCTATCTGTCTACTAAAAAAACGAATTTGAAAAAGCAGGTGCATAAGACTATGCAAGAGCATCCTCACCTTCTGAGTGAGACACAAAACACATCACAAAGGATAACAAACATCCGTTGGTTCGTTTATGAAAAGCAAAAATGATATATAGAACTTGAAAAATCCCAAACGAGAGTAGTTTGAGCTTGTTTTTGTTTACTCATATTGGATATAGTATTTTTATTTATCTTCGATGACCTAACTGATTTTTTCGTGTTTCATTCAATAGGCAAGGATGCTCTGGTTATACCTACATACATTTTATTGTTTTTTTTAAATCCAGTTTTTCAAGTAGGTAGATAGGTAAGTAAATGTGATACTTCGTAATGTTCCATGTTACAGAAATTTTTATATTATTCAAATCTGAAAAATGTATGTAGCATGTAATCTTATATATGTTCTCATTGTTTTTGTTTGTTTAATCTATCGATTTTATATTTTTGTGTATTTTTACCGTCTTTTTGATTTAATTTTTGGTGTACGGTTTTGAATATCATAAATATATTTATTCACATTTTTTAGCCCCGAAGAATGCGTTAAATAAACGACGAAACGTTAACGTTTTGACAAAATACACTTTATAACACATGTTTCATATCACAAAAAATCCAAAGAACTAAAAAATGCTGGTAATTAGGGATATATAAATCTACTAGCCCTAAGGCCTAGAAGTAACTTATGTGAAAGGTTAAAACACGTATTTTTGTAAACCCTTAAAATGCTTGAATTAATAACTATATTATAATCATGAGGAATTATTAATTAGAAAGCTTAGACGGGTCAATTATGCGGACCTGGATGCTGGTTGTTAAGTCCATACTAAGCTGCCTTCACTGTCAACGAGAGGGTCTCGAGAGCCCTTCTACCTGCTTTTCCTTTGATAAACACAACTCATACCAGATGTAATAACAAATTCAAAGCAATAAAGTCATAAATACACTTTCGCTCTTGCAGGGATCGATAACAGTATCATTCTTATTTTACTACAAAATCCTCAGATCTAAAGTTCGAACTCTGATATTAAAGTAAAGAGGCAACCTACTCCATGTGATTTTTACATGTATGAGGTCAACTCTATACCCATCAGTAATGTTTACGACACGCAATCTGGCAGCGCTGTCCATCTGCCATTGTTGTAGGTTGGAGGTAGCGTAGCTCTAAACTTGGAACTGGTAGGTTTTGCCAGGGTTTGCAGCGATCCGCAGGACCGTACTTAGCGATTTGAAACTATGATAGTTGCTTTGCATTTTGACCGCGTCTCTTCTCGTCAAATCTAGTGACCGACAAAGATTGAATCTCCAAAAACATAAGCTGTGCCTAGTTCTACATATCTGAATGTTGCAACATCTGCCAGTTCAAAGTTTAATTTCCGTCGCGACTGTGATTTGTCTAATTCAATATGTGGAATCCATATTTCGGATCTTTGTCTGATGCATGGTATTTTCCATAGCGAGTTTAATCAGGCATCTATGACTTTAATTTTTTTCGTCCGTCCGACCTGTTCTTATTTCGATAGACCGCAACTCGTGGATACAGGATTGTTGCGAAGCTTTCGTTCGTTGTCCCAGAGACGAGAGACGAAGCATATAGACAATGCTGATGAGTAGCCAAAAAGCACGAAACAGCTGTCCATGGTTGGCTGTCTCGTGGGTGGTCGGATGATAGCACCATGTCTTTTATAAATCACGTTAAGTCGCATACAATAAAATACAAGAAACATATTTCAACCGAAATTATCTCAAAACTGCTTATTTGAACTTGGCCTAGTGTGCCTCCAAGGTAGGGATTTCGAATCTGAACGAGACGTGATGATAACACTGGCAGGTGCATGAATCCCAAACATTTATTTATATGATTTTTTGTATCATACCTTCTTGTTAGCTGTGTTAGTACTGAATCTGGGATTATTTTTGAATATAGGAGCTGATTTAGGGTTCAAGGTGAAAATTGTTATGGTCTCTTGTCTGTAAATAAGTTAATTATAGAAAGGAAATGTTAGAGACGTCGTTTGAAAATTGTAACAGTTCAACGTTCAAAGCCTGCTCTGTTTCCTTGCATTTGGCGCACTAGCTGTATTGATTTTATCAGAATCTACATCAGGTATGGACCTTGATATTTTCTGGGAATAAACAAAATTATAAGGTGTGCCTTAATGTCCTCTTATAGAGGATTATCTGCGAACCATTACTCAGATATGAGGAGAGCTGAGATGAGTTTTGCGAATTTATACAAACTTGATAAGTTGACACATTAAATAGCGTTATCGATATCAAACAATGATATATCTTTTCAACTGATGAATAAAGTTTTCTTGTATCACTTTTGTGTCATGACTACTTTATTCAGCGTAAAAAATAGCTACAATCTTGTTACGAATAATCTGAAACCTTGTGAAGGAGACCAAGCAACGGCGTTAGGGAATCTAAATTTTCTATAACTGTAAAACCTGAAACTTACTCAGTGGTTTTCATTCTGATAATCCTCTATGTTTCGCTGGCCGATCGGTCTAGCAGACGACATTTGTATTTGGAAAAGGCCACTATGGTGGCCGAAACGTGGTCATTAAATAGTATTTCAAGCATATGTGGTGCCATTTAACTATCAGACAAACATGGAGGACATCTATAACTGTCTCAATCATATAGCCATTTTCTACAAAAATCATCAAAAAATACAATATCGCCCGGAGGTTATTGAAGAAAGCCATTTTCAAAGAGCAGCCTTCAGATAAATGTCACAGTTGTGTCACTATACTGGTCGCAGTATTTTCTGATCACACCGTCAGTGTCCGCGGATTTCTACGTAACCTTATACATCAATAACTACTGCTGCCCTGACTACACGGTCAATTCACATTCCATGATACATACTGACGAATCACCGTAAAAACTGATCGTGTTACATTCGCATTTAAGAAGTTTCGATCTTCATAAGGAAGGGCCTAAGGCTGGTTGTACATTTTCTATAGGGACTTACTAAATTCTTTTTCATATGTTTATAGTACCTATCCTAGAGAATACACAAAATTTTATTTTATCATTCAGAGCAACCAGGGATTAGGAACAATAAAACAAGAGTTCAAACTTCATCCTTCATTTTATATACTACCTACAAATATCTTACAAAAACGGATTATTGCTTATTATGTGTACAGTCATTAGCGAGATAATATCGCAATTTGTATTGTTGCCGTTTCCAATAACACTTCCTCAGGAGCACCAAAAATTCATTTCAAAGCCTCTAAACGGGCAATATTGTAGCAATATTTGGCTATAACCAGAGACGACCTGGGATTCGATCCCCCCAAATATTCAAGATTAAAAAACATCGAACTTGTTCTTCAATTTCCAGATGACCCTCCCGTTCTTTTACTTTTGAATCACCGATTCCCCCCGCTCTCCAATTTTCAATCGCCGATATCCCTCCCCCAGACGGACTGAACAAGGATCCTGAGTCCGTCCCCCCCAGCACTTTTTTGAGCGAGTAACTTAAATTCATTTGCCGAATTTACACGTTCACGGCGATTAAACATTTAAAAAAATATGAAAAAATGAAATTATCAAATAAAATTAGAAAGGAAAATGTGTTCCGTATTGGAATGGTTTTGAGCAATGAGAGTAAGGCTATATTCACAGCGTATGAAAATATTTACAAGGTTAACCTAACATTCCTGTCAATATTCTAGCTTTCTTCGACTTCTTGTTTTACACAAGAAACGTCTACTTCAACTGCAACAAATGGAGGGCATTGCTCTGGTAGCTCCGAATCCGACTTAGGATAATCATACACTCCACTCTCAGCTTCGTGAAGAATAGCTTCAATTTTCTGCATTACCAAACGTTTACCGTATTCCGTTGGCATCATTCTCAGTTTTTGCTCAACTAACCTTCCAAATGCGGAAAGGTCATCGTCAAAGCAAAATCTTTTATTGGATGGAGCTTCAGATTCGTCTTCATAATACTCTCTCTTGATTTGGATAGGCTCAATTTTGATACTTTCAGGTTCATCGAATTCTGGGATGTCATTGGTATTACTGATGGTGGTACTAGGTCCTTGCAAAGGGGTAGCGCCAAAAGGATCTTCAGACTGAAGCTGGAAGGATATATACGAGGTGGTTATAAAAGACCTAATTTGATCTCAAGTCTTATTTAACGAGTAATGGTGTTTAATTTCTGTTCAAAGCCATAAAATAACAAGAACAATCGACTGTGTCTGATTAATTGTATTAATAAATATATATAAATAATTTCCTTTGAAAATTATTTTTCAAGTGTTTGTCATCACTGTGGGTAACGTAGTCCATTTTGGAATTCCAATTTTCGAAGACGCTTCCGTGCATTTCGAGTGGTACCCGGCGAAATACTTGAGTAATGCTAATTTCTAACTTCACAATCGTAGTCTCTTACCCATTATGCAAGCAAAAAGTCTGGAGGTGTGAAATCACACAATTCAGGGAGTAAATTTATCGGTGGAAAAACGAGAATTAGCTTCTCGCTGAATTGTCCCAGTAGGTCTGATGATAATGGGCTTGAATTTCAGGTAGCAAATAAGGTGCTATAGCACCATAACCGTCGCCAAAGACTTCTCGATCGTAGTTATTGTCTACAGATCAAAGAAATTATCTTCAAAAACTCAATATTAGTTATGCGTCTTTACTTCAATCATAAATATAAACCGAAAAGAAACTGAATGATAGTGGCGTCATATATGAGACAATAGTGGAACACAAAAATAGATTCAGAAATCTACTTTGAAAAGAGGTAGTGTTGGATTCTATTACTGAATAATAGATGGCGCTAGGATCTCCAATCTCTTTTTGGCCTCTCTAATACCTATTTTAAAAATAATAAATAATGTTTAGATATGTATGTAAATAATGTTTCTTTTAAAAGGTACCTAATACTCCTTGCACTGGTTCTAAAATTTTCATAGTTTTCGACACACATCAATTTTTTGACAGCTGAGCCTTTTATTTCTTTAAATATATGTTTTGTTAAAGAGCATCATGAGAAACACTAAATGTTTTGATTCACCTGAAAATTCTAGATCTGCTACTGTTTCGCAAGCCCACAAAGAAGAGTATGGATTTCTTAGTATTTATGCAATTGGTCCTCATTTTCTATCCTAATTCATAAGTACGCATGTTTATAGGAACAACACTTAAAATAATATTCAAAAATTCATTCATCATTATATGTAAAAAAATATGACACACTGTAGAAAATATATTACATTAGATAAATAAACAAATAAGCCACAAAGGGCAAAGCCTTGTGCTTGGCATAAAAGAATAAAATAAATACCTCCGAATTAGATATAGGTAACGTCTTCACTCACACTTTTAATAGGAAGGTTCGACATTTTTCGTATTTCTCTTTTAATTAAAATCGAGGGATTTTGTTATTAAAAAATGGTCAAAGAAATTTGAGTGCAAAATATGAATATTTACGCCGACGGAAAGCATTTTAAAATCAAGGATGGACGCGAGGCTAGAAAACGTACCTGTACGCGAGACTAGACCGCGAAATTTACCCCATGTGGATGTGGACATGGTGTACGAGTTTTTGGCAAATAATGCAAATTTAAATGAACCTCAGAGCAGCGCTGTTAAAGTAGTTCGGTAAGTACCGATATGAAGCTAATTTTTTTTGTTTAGCTCCAATGGGTAATATTTTTTTTTTGTATTTCTCCTGGTTTGCTTTAGTCTATTTAAAGCTAATAAATATTAAGACATAATAATGCCTGCTCGTGACAATAATTTTGAAGGCTATTTATCTCTGCTTTTTTCTTCCTAGGTAAAATATTATGGAATTTGAATTATCATAAATATACCTTGTTACGCCTATTAAGAGCCCCGAAATTGGTTCTTTTTGCATGCATAATGAGGCTTTATTACACTATTCTGAAGTAAAGTATAGTATCTAATATGTTTTCAATGAGAGAAATTCCAGGGATGTAGACAGAATCTGATTTTTTTAGCGTCTATTGGGAAATACTTAAATTTGGGGGGGGGGGGGGCAGTCACATTATAGAATTTTATAGCTACTAAAATAACAAAGTTTATGGCTGCTTTCGGGGGATGGGCAATGAAGCCAGGTTCTAAACGTTGACTAATATTGCGCTTAGAATGACTACCTATAACAACAATTTGTTTTAGATCTGGAAAAGAAGATTACGGAGACTCTGCACTTGGTTATGTTCAAGTGTCTTGTCACATACCTGTGATTGAACTTCTACTGTTAAAGGTTCAGGCAGTTCATCATGCTCCTCCTCAATAACTTCCACGCCTTCAGGCTCGGACTTTTCGGTTGAGGGTCCCGCCCGGCGTGCCGCCGCTGGCTGCAAATATTTGGCGATGTGTTTCTGCCTTGCCCTTTTTTCGCTGAACACTCGTTTCGTAGAGCTTAATTGACATGCAAATTTATGAGGTGCAATATTAGGATTCATCCGGGCTCGAACGGTACTCATCTTGTATTGTAGATAGTTTTCCATATCTTTTTCCAGGTCAAAATGATCTTCGCAGCAGTACATGGTCGACGTGGAAGAAACTGATTTCACATCCCGTCGAGCTGCGTCAAACCACTTTTTACGTTGTGCGGCAGCTTTTGGAACACTCACAAAAATTTTTGGTGGTGTTGTACTTGACGTACTTGTACATTTTGGCACAAAACACCACTTTCTGTTCGACATTTAACACCGTCAAAGTTCACAGAATTTAACAATAATCTATCGTACCAGCTCTAACTACTCCAAACCGGTTACTGGGGCGTTGTCGTGAGAATGGTAAATGCAGCGGGCCAGCTAGCGAGGCGGGTCTGGCTACTGACGTCACGCGGTCTAGTCTCGCGCACAGGTACGTTTTCCAGCCTCGCGCCGATCCTTGATTTTGAAATGCTTTGAGTCGACGTAAATATCAATATTTTTTGTTCAATTTTTGTTTATCGTTTTTAATAACAAAATCTCTCGATCTGAGTAAAAATCAAAGAATGGCGAACCTTCCTATTGTATTTCAAATAAACTGATGTTTCGAAGTTTTCTTATGTCTATAGACACACACTATTGTAACATTTTGGGCCTAAAAAGCTGTGGAACCTGCAAACACTTTTATATGGTTTTTTTAACTATAATTGTGGATGGTTTGCTTCATGAATCGTAAGTATAATTTTATAGAAATGTAAATGATGTAAATCCAAGAAATCTGTTATGTTGAACAGTTGAGTTGTCGGATACGTTATGGGGTTATATAATTATACAAGGTGGCCCATCCATGTGTAGACGGGATATTAGTCATAAACAAATACATATTGGGAAAATCTATTAATGGCATGTTATACATGACATTTGAGAGCGCATTTCTAAAGATGTGCCATTATACAGGGTGTCCCAATTTTGACCTACATTTTACAGTTGTGATTTTTCAAATAGAATGCCTCAAATTTTATTGCATATTTGGATAAACTAATTCAAAGAAGAAAATTGATATAACATACTATGGGGTTTTGGTAATCAGCTACTGAGATATAAGGTGTTTTGTCTGGAAAAACGCCCCACTTCGGCAACGCCTCAGTCTGCCATTTTGAAATTTGGAGTGCTGAATTTTGTATAAAAAAAACTTACACACCTCAGCTTTTATCTTATTTGTCATTTTTTCGAATTTAATTGTTGCTCATACAGGGTGGACAAAAATGCAAATTGTAATTTTTCTCAAAAATTTGAAATGCCTCGGCCTGTATATTTGTCCAAGTTTGGATTCAATTTTTTATAAGCATTTTTTTTATACTAGACACAAGGGTTTTTACGGCTATTTTTTCGGTTATTAGCATGTCTTTTATGGAACGGCTTAATTCCCTAAAATATCGCATCATCCGTGGAAACAAATAAATTGTTGATTAGTTACAAACAATCAAAATTAGCTTTGTGAGCATTATAATAAAAACTTCATATCGCCTATGCTTGCATCAAGGCCTTCGTCCTCAGGATTTCGCAGCTCGAATGGAGTTTAGTAGAATAATGCTAAATAAAGTGAGTGAAGATACTACTTTCCTAGATAAGGTTCTTTTTAGCGATGAGGCAACTTTTAACAGAATAGGTGTTGTCAACAGGCATAACATGCACTATTATGCGACGGAAAACCCTTACTGGGTTAGGCATATAGATTTTCAAAATCAGTGGAGCTTGAATGTTTGGGGAGGAGTTATTGGCAGACAAGTTATCGGGCCTTTATTTTTCGACAACAGATTAACAGGTACAGAATGCTTGGATTTTTTGATCGAGCATTTGCCTTTGCTTTTGGAGGATGTCAACCTGCAAACTCGGATGCATATTATGTACTTCCAACATGACGGCGCACCTGCGTGTGCGTAACTATTTGGACACCTGGAGTAACAATTGTTGGATCGGTCGTGATGGGCCTATATCTCGGCCTCCTAGATCACCAGATTTGACACCGATGGACTCATTTATATGGGGCTACGTTAAGCAAGAGGTTTATAGATATTCACCATCTACCCCGGAAAATATGAAGGAAAGTATTAAGGATGGTCTTCTGAACATAAAGGCACACATGCTGAGGATCACTAGATTTTGAGTTAGTAAGCTTTTAATAGAATAACGCACCAAAATTAAGGACAAAAATCACATCATCCATGGAAACAAAAAGACAAACAGTGGGTTAGTTCCATATTGACACTAAGAGTACAGATTTGACGTAAAAACTAATAACGATCAGAACAGTATTCAGTTTCAAGCGTAATAGAGAAAAACAACTATAATAACAACATAAACAAACAATTATCACTACTCAAGAGCTAATCTACAAAAACTGCTCGAAAATATCTCCATTATGTTGAATGCACAGCTCTAGTCTTTGGATGAATGACCGTTGCACATCCCTCAGCATGTGTTCCCTTATGTTCAGAAAAGCATCCTTAATCCTTTCCTTCATATTTTTCGGGTAGATACAATGCGAGATGCTAGGAAACTATTTCATTGGGCTTCAAAATTCATTTTCAAACACGTTTTTAATAATAATGCTCACAAAACTAATTTTGACAGTTTGTAACTTATCAACAATTTATTTGTTTCCTAGGATGATGCGATATTTTAAGGAATTAAGCCGTTTCACAGAAGACGTGCTAATAACCGAAAAAATAGCCGTAAAAACCTAGTATCAAAAAAAGCTTATGAAAAATTGAATCCAAATTTGCACAAATATACAGGGTGATGCATTTGAAATTTTTGAGAGAAACTACAATTTGCGTTTTTGACCACCCTGTATGAGCAAAAATTAAAATTCGAAAAAGTGACAAATAAGATAAAAGCTGAGGTGTGTAAGTTTTTTTGATACAAAACTCAGCACTCCAAATTTTAAAATGGCAGACTGAGGGGTTGCCGAAGTGGGGAGTTTTTCTAGACAAAACACCTTATATCTCAGTAGCTAATTACCAAAATTCCATAGTGTGTTATATCAATTTTCTTCTTTTGAATTGGTTTATCCAAATATGCAATAAAATTTGAGGCATTCTATTTGAAAAATCACAACTTTGATATTTAGGTCGAAATTGGGACACCCTGTATAATGGTCAATATTTTAGAAATGTGCCCTCAAATGTCATGTATGACATGCCATTAATAGATTTTCCCAAAATGTATTTGTTGATGAGTAATATTCCGTCCACACATGGATGGGCCACCCTATAATATATATGTATATGTCTTCAGAATCATGTTTTCTAATCGATGTCATGGTGAAATGTATATAAATGTTGTGCTGCACCCCATGCTGTTATAGCAATATTTGATATGCGCTCAATAAGTGAGCTAAGTATTATTTTCATTTGGTTCATATTATACACCTTAGGAAAAACCATTGTTATACATGGGAAATCATTTCTTGGCAACAGAGCATCGGCTCGTCTACTTTCATCGCTATTCGTACATATTTCCTACCGTTAACCGCAGACCTGTATCACGAATGAGAATAATAGGCAGATAAGCTGTGTTGCCAATTTGAGTAGAGCTTCCCGAATTGTGGGGAATTTAGAGTTAAGTGTTGATTCATTCAAGCTTTTAATCAGCATGGCCTAGACGTTAGAACTTCATAAAGATAACATTGAAGCTGAATGCTGCTGGAGTATAGTGTTTCGAATATTCAAAACGGAGCGGGACACTATACTCGTTCAATGGGTCATCAAGCCACAGTCTTTTCAACAAAGAAATTATTTTACGAAAATGCGTTATATTTTTACGATTTTGTCGTCACCAAATCTCTGTTTCTCAAAATGTACGTCTATTGTAGAATTTTCAGCAAACTAAGCAAGAAACGTGATCTAGTATTTACTCAACATTACGGATTTCTCGAAATACATTAAAAAATGTGACCTAGATACCTAACTGCCCCAAGCTCTTTAAATATAACACCTTAAACCAGGGTGACCAGGTGCTCAGTCACGTTGATTGTCATGTTGTACTGCGCAAGTCAGCAAACAATCTGGTGTAATAAACGTTAGAATCATCAGGTATTACCAGATTCCCGAATACCGGGCACCATAGTAACCGTTATAGTTGTCCTTCAAAGTTGTCAAATCGCCCCTATGGCGCAAATTCGCCACACCAGGCAACTGTGCTATAAACAAACCCTGTTTATCACTACTATTTGATAGTCGTATGGTAGTTGTAGCCCTATCTAGCGGTCCATGATTTCTCTCAATACTGTTGTATCTCTACTGGCAACAAGAATAGGGATTACAAAATCATTTATACAACAATATACAAACATGAAAAATATGATTTGAACCATGAAACATTAATACAATTTTAATAGTTTGAACTTTTTTCATTTTTGGAATACTCTTATGTGGAATCCGCAGCTATTTTTCCCGAAATTTGGGTAGACTTAGATTTCTTAGAAATATGACTTATTGGTATCGGCAACTGTGCGAATGGGAGAAACAAATCGCATTTGTTGAGCGCATCCGTCTAAGTGGTAGGTGCCAGCGCCCGTTCTGCCATCTCTCTCTTTTATCACTCTTCTACTTTACCCCGTTGTACGTCACACTGCGACGCTGCCGATAGGATCCTACAATCGAGTGTCTTTCACGCACCTATATACTTTTGTATATTTCCATCTCTCTTCCTCATCATAATGTATAATAATGGTTTTTCCCAAGGTGTATACCGACAAGTAATCGGAGACTTACCTTTTCCCCAGAGTTGGTAGTCGATAAACTGTTTTCAATGAAGCTCGATGAAGGGTCTGAAGCATTTCCAGCCGTATTTTTCGTTCTACCTGGAAATAAGTGTGGACTGAGATAAAGTCTGAAAACCACACATGAAAAATACATTTCATGTTGTCAGATGCAATAAACAACGGCGTCTAGACTTTGGTTCAAAATCCCCCTGTGCTTCATCTTTAACCATTAAGGCCCAATAGCTTAAGCAAATTTTATGCAAATTTTATAGGGTGATGAATGCGTAAAGCAGTATAAACTTACAACCTTTGGCACAACAATGAGCTTGGCAACACGTGTCCATCACTACCGGTTTAGATGCCGCAAATTAAGACCACCCTTTAAGCATAAAAAATGTCGCGTGGGTAATATTGTGTACCATAAGGAAGCGGCAGAAGAGCTCTGAACGTATTTTAGCTAAAGATGGCCATATATTGTATTCCGGCGTCCCAAAAGACAAAAGAAAACAGAAAGGTACCAGATCCATCCATCAGTCAGTAGCACAAAAAATTAGAAATCTACTTTGAAAACTGCTTGTTTAGTTCTGATGCTGTCTCCTAGATGGCGCTGATATCTTTCACAATCCTTTTTGGAATACTATAGGTACATGATTGACTATCTGCGGCTACAATAGAGTCAATGTCAAAATATACAGTCTTGAGAGGGTATTTAAAATTTTGTCGTGTTTGGACTTTCCTGACCTTCTATAATAATTTGAACGAACGTTGGGTTTTAACGTATATTTTGATTATAATTTAAGGTACAAGTGGATAAAGGTGTTATGTAACATTTTTTAAAAATTGCTTTTTGCATTAAACTAACGTTAAGGAGTGATTCTTTCATTCTATTACTACTTTGTTGCAAAAACAAGATAATAACAAACTAATCAAAATAAACATTTAAAATTTCAATAAAGTAAAAAGTCCCAATAAAAATATTTGAAATCAATTTTCTTTCTCTACAGTGATTCTGCTACATGACACTTTTATCCACCTGTGTCTTCAATTCCATACAGTCGCATTTATACATTCATTGTTATTTTTATTTATCCTATCAAATATTCCAACAACAGCATTTCTTCACTATCTACACTGATACGTCTATGATAGTGTGCTGGGTATTACGAATGGAAATGGTATTGAAAACGTACATCCTGGTCCTTACTTACTCCATTATTAAGTTCAGTGTAACTCTTGATCTGCACGTAATATTATTTATTATACGTAGTTGAAGTAATTTCGGCACGTTATATACAGGGTGATATCACTGATAATATACAGGGTTACGTATACATTTCAGAAAAAAAACAATCAAAACTGTGTATCTTACTTCAAAAGAGTTTTAATCACAATATAGACAAATTACTTTCTGATGGCATATTATGTTGGTTGGCATTCCTCTAAACAAGTGTCGAGTTTGTAAGGATTCTTCGTCAAAAAGACTGATAGCGACATGTCTAATAATAAATGGACACAATTTATTACACAATCCAATAAGACAAAATCAAGTGCGGATAAATCATATCATATAGGCTGCCACAGGAAAAGTACCACTGACAACCTGGCAAAAATAAGTGAGGTTATGTAAATTTCCTAAATAAAAGGACCAACCCTACGAAGGTGGTCAGATTCAAATTATTTCGCATTTGGTAACCCGGCATACCGACACTTCAAATATCATTGTTAAGGCATTATCGCTAAAGTTAATAGGGAGTTTTCGCATAACGCTTAGAGAAGCGACCTAGGCGCAAACGCTATCCGGTAAAGTACATTACGTATACGTTAAGTTAATCGGTTGTGGATACTTTTCGCAACAGCATGAGAAATAACGTGGACATAACCTAAAATTTGTGACCTTAAAGCTGTACCCTACAACGCTACAACCTCAATACTTTGGCTGTAAAGGTGTCTTTGACGAAATGGATGTATACATAACTTCTTGATTTGGCCGCTATAGGGGCAGTGAACAACGAGGAGTTGGAGACTGGGATTTTGCACAGCATTCTCAACAGACAAGTTCCCCGTTCGCTTGACTTCTTTCGCAGTACACATAATACAAACTTTATGAATAAAAATGAAAACAACAGGCCAACCGATTTTTTTTCAAATTAAGAAAAATCACCCATTAACGGCACCTAACCTCAAATCATAACGATCATCGCCCGATTGGTTCCGGGTATCCACGAAACGATCATATACCGCCCCGCGCAAAGTGTTCTCAAATTACACTAGGCGGTAACGTAATTAGTGCCCGCTATCATGAAACCCACGACTGAGCATCCGTATCTGTCAAAATAACGTGCCTAGTAAAATACCGCAGCACGTTAAGTGGCATGCGAAAACTCCATAATACCAGTTGTATCGTCCCTCTATTTTACCAGTTGAAAGTTATATTTTCTCCGTATTTGTAGAATACTACTGCAGGGGTATTACGTCACTTGAAAAGTTACAATAGGTCGTTTTTTTGACATTATGTCGTTTTTTGACGTTATGTAGGTTTTCCCATAAGACGCCAACTTGGAAATAGCTGTCGTTCACTTCATGCTCACTCTTAGCAAGCGCGAAATGAATTATTTGCACACGAGCCTATCTGGTCACCTCTTTGACATATCGTTTTTATTGACATTATGTAGGTTTTTTACGTAATAACCCTGCCAGTCCAGTCGACAAATTAACATTCGTTATCTGATTTTTATGTCGTCTTACATTATCAACAGTGATCTTCCATTATCTATTATATATGATAATATTGAACAAACCTAGTGGAACCAATGGTGGAAGTCCCCGAAGTTCCTTTTGTGAACTCGGGATCAGTTCTGCTAAGGTAGGAAAAATAGTTGGAAAGGCATTTTTCCTCAACCTATTACGCGTGTCATTTGCAAACATATGACTCTCGAAATGAAATCCACACATTTTATAAGACGACTTATAAAGATTTTCTTTTCCCATTAAGTCTTTTCTGCCACATGCCAGAAGCCAAACGTTTGACCTGTAAGAGTACAAATAATGCCAGTTGGGAATGTCAATTTATACATAATACAGGGTGTTAAGAAGTGAGGTCAAATATTTGAAGCGGCAGTTCTTGGGTACATTATATGGAAACTCTTTGAATGAAAACAAGTCTTAAACGTCTAAAATATTATAAGGCTACTATAAAAAGAAAGATAATTTTTATTATGTAAAGGACATATGTTCATACGTATACAGTACTTAACTCTTAGTGACCCAAATATCGCCCCTTAAATGATTTACCTCAATTTTAATACACCCTCCTGTATATCAGCTAAATAAATCATTTACCTGCCAGTATCTGTCGGGAACTTGAAAAAACTATATTGACAATTATTTGAATTGTTTGTACAAAATTTAGCGGCACATCGACTTATTCCACTAGGTGCTGTACTATACATGGTGCATAAAATTCACTGAATCCCACTCTGTCCAAAGAATAGCGTTTCACAGTTCACTCACTACGCTCTCGGCAGCCGAACCAAAAGTGGTGCCGGATTGCTCAGCATAATAACCCGAATGCGCATTATGCGTTACGCGCATCGACTTCAAAACAAGGATAGACCCAGCAAGTCATTCATAAAACTACATTCGACTAGTTGACGACATAAACAAAGCACAAAGTGACGGCTAGGGGCTATGAGGGAATGAGAGGGGAAACGCCGCATGAGAATTCAGGCTGTGAAACCTAACGTCACTGAAAACTCTATGTACAGTACAACCAACTTATAATGGACTCGGCGAGACTGTGACAAATAGTTTATAGGCGGATAACCATCTTAAAAGAAACACTTATTTAATGAAAAAAAAAACCGCCGAAATAACATTAAAAGCTTAAAATGTGTTTGTTAAACATGTATTACATAAATAAAGATACAGACAAAAAAGTTTTTGAAATTTGCATTTTTTTCGGAGTCTGGTACACATATTACAGGCATACGTACTATACTATATATAAAAACCGTAAATTAATTGGTAAAAAGCTAGTCATTTCATTTGAACAGATTGTTTTTTGTATAATTATTTAGAACAGCACGTTGAATTTTATTTAATTTGGTAAGTGTGGCTGTCTGTCTTCTTCTTGCTGAAAATAACGTTGCAACTTTTTCACGCAGTCTAATACCTCCTTAGTTGTCACTGGAAGCTCTTCTTCATATTTGTTTTCTAGTTCGTCGTTCGTTATCAACTGATCCTTCATTGGCCAAATTGGAGTCTGACAATTTCTGTGTTGCTATTAAATTATTGTCAACATTTACATACTCATTAAATTTGGCTAAATTCAGGAAACTATTAATTTTCAGCAAATCACTTAATGGAATTTAATCTTCTGGATTATATGTGACTATATGTTTTTCAATAAACCAGAATGGCGAAAACAATTACGAATCGATTCTCGAGTAACCAATTCCCATGCAATAGTAAGCAAATTTATAGCATCTAAAATGGTGACTGCTTTGGTAATGTTGACATATTCTTGAAGTTCCATAATATTATGGTTATCAATCCATGCAGTACAGTAGAATAAAGGAAACACTCAGTGATTGCTAACCTTTCAGGTAACCAAAACACTAGACCCAATAGCACATGAACACTGTAATTAGGTCCACGATGCGCACTACTTGGTCCGAGAAGCGATCTCTTTCACGCACTATTTGAACTGTGATGCGACCCACGCCCGCATTTTTAAGAAAGTTTATCCAGGGAACAAGTGCCCAGAGAAGGTATGGAATGTATAACATACAGGTAAACAGGCGTAAGGACCGTCGTGCTGAGTGACACTAAGCAGACTTGTGAACCTTTTGGATAGATTTTGTGTGCTACAGGGTTGAACTCACATGCAAAAATGTGTTTGAGATATTTCGTTAGCTTACATTGGTAACTTTCTTCTCAACTGAAAATAACTCACCACACATTTTTCCAAAAACAATGTTATGTCTTTTCTTAAACCTGTCTAGCCAACCGGAGCTGCATTTGAAGTAATCTCCAATCAATTTTCCAAATTCTTCAGCCTTTATTTGTAGCATCGGTCCACTTATTGGAAAATTATTAGCACGCTTTTGTTGAAACCATTGAAACAGCATATCATCGACTTGGGGATGCAGCGATTGTCGCATTTTTTTCTTTTGACTATATGATTTCCAGTCATTTTTAATTTTGTCACGGTTTTTCCAAATATTTGACACAGTGGACTTTTTCATAGCCATACGAGCACATATATTTGCTTGAGATGAACCCTGCTCAAGCTCACTAACTATTGTGAACTTTTCGCGTAAAGTGAATGCACGTTTCCCACTTTTCGACATGTTTATAACTCTAATAAATACAGTATAACACTGGTGGCGTGGCCACGTTCGAATGCAAACTGCGAAGCCAAACCGCCGTAAACGATTGCATCAGCTAAATCTGCTTTGGGGAACTACCAAAATAGCTGGCATATAATGGATTAAAATACTCCGCTATAAGCGAGGGTCTATTTTTAGCGAGTCTATGACATCGGAGGATTTTACTTGCAATTATTTATAGGACGTTAAATTGTGTCCATTATATACGGGTTTCCATTATAAGCAAGGTCATTATAATATAAGTGGATTCCACTGTACTATTACACATAGGCGTAGCATACAATACGTATAGGGGTGACAAAATAAGCGTATTGAAATCGGGAGTATCACAAAAAAGCGGTACTTTAGTAGGACTATCACTTTCTGATGCTGATCATGTTGAGGAAGTATGGAATGATTGCCTACAAAGAAGAATTAATTCGTATGTAACAGTATAAAAGCACAAAAGTTTAATAAGCCTTACTCTTCATTTGATGTGCCGGGCAAGTAATACATCTCTTCATCCGTGAATAACCAGTAAACAACAAATAAATAATTGCTGTGAATAGAATACTGCTGATCAGGATTTATCAAACATTTAGTAAGGATTACATTAAGGCATATATCAAACTGAAAGAGTTCCACCTTCATAGTCTTCTTTATGGCACAGCTTGAGGTGAGCTCTACTTACCTTCTTATTGTGCTTAAACCTACAATGGTGGTATTTTTGCCATCTAAAATATCAATTCAGCAAATATAAAATGCCACCATATGGATGTAGGGCTCCAGAATTGTTCAATTTCATAGAAATTTCAATATACTACAAAATAATATGATAGAGAATATAAATTAAACTTACTTTTTTCTAGCAGTAGTACTACAATCTGAGTCTTCTTGCTTCAATCAACTTACAGATGATTCTGAACTAGAATAAAGCATGTGTAGTCATTAACCAACAAAAAATCTTTAAAATTAATTCCTGATCAAATTATGGACTTCTACATAGTGAGATACTAATGCATAGAAATACTTCATGAAATTAAACACTGAATGAAAGTATGAGTTATAAAAATTAATGTGCATATATAAAAATACACCAAAAATCAAACGCAAGTATAGTTTTAATCAAAGTATGCGCAGCTCAGCTTATGCATTGTGACTTCAACAAACCAAGTTTCAATCGAATGTACTGTCACTGTTTTCATAACAATGTAATGTAAGGTATAAGCATCATCGTAATTTCAGCTCATAAGATGCAGATATGTTAACTACAATTTTTGATTGCTTATAGAGCATGTCTTAACTCATTTTATTATCTGTGAAATCAATAAACTATAACAGTACCTAGTTTCTCAATTATTCAAATGATATAATTGAGCAAAATTATAACAGTAATTATAGGTACATTTATCTAAGTCCATAACAGATAAGTTAGGAAATACCTAGATTAGAATCACCATCTTATATGAAAAGTTAAACAGCAGATAGAATCAGACATCAGCCTGATCGTTTGAATAACGCTCCAATGAACAACTTTGCCATTTTTTTGTTAATTACTCAAATGAAAGTTTAGGAAAAATGAAACAAGATGGTGAAAAAATTATTAATTTATCCCTAAAAACAAAAAAGTTACAGCCTATCAAAGTTGCGCCCCGACAGAATATTTTTATTCGATCTGTAGGCTATGCGTGACGTCATACTTCAGTATCCAGTTGCAACGCCCGCGGCCGATTCCTGGGCCCGAGCCGACTCAATCTCCTAAACACATGCATAGGCACACATACAGCGGGACACATGGTAGGCTAAACGTCTTCCACCCCAATTTGTTTAATTAGTTGACTGCTTATAAGATCGGTTGTGAGAAATAAGAAAAAAAGGTTGTTATAAATACTGTAGCGTTCCAAAATGTACGAGCACAACAATTACAACCCCTAATAAACATAAACGGTGCACACTAAAGAAGTGTGACGTCAGACGCGAACGAACATGAGCAATGATTTCGCGCTATAATGCGCCAAATTTAATTATCAATTTCTCTGTCATTTATTGCCCGATTTCAATAATTTTTTCACTGGGTGATTATATGTAGTCTATATTTTGCTGGTATGTCATTACTTATGCGATTTTGGATATCACGAAACTTCTCAATTACATATCAAAATGAGTGCCAGTAGTTTCTATGGTGGTACTATTTCTACTTTCATTTCTATTGCACTAGAATAAAAACAAAGAATGCGGAATAACAGGATTGGCATCTCTCTTGAGGAAGTTGGAGTGTCAAAATGAGTGCTTTTTAAAGATATAACATATATATCTTTCATGATTATTGTATTAGAAAAACTAGTCTATTATGTATTAAGAGCTTACCTGGTGCTTACTGCAGGATCAAACAAAGAATGAGAGATAGAAGGAATCGCATCCCGCTTGAGTGTCTTTTGTCCCTCACTCCCGTAAACAAAAGCATTTTCTCCAAAATGCTTCGAACATAGCTCCACCCTTTTAGGAAATTGCTGGTTTTTGACGAATCCTAGGGCCGACAACCACCTGTTTCTCCTTTCCGGATCCTTGGGAAGGCAAGAATTTCGAATATTACAGTTATGAATCGAAAGCCATCAACGGGTTTTTGATAATGAGACGCCATGGTACGCCTCTGAACATAAACATAATTAGGATGTATACTTACGAATGAAATGCTAAAGATTTCGCTCCAGCATGATGTTTATAAATTTTACACAAATAGCACTGCTGCACCATTTTATTGCGATTTAATATACCGTAGCGTTTTTCTGGGTTCTTTTGGGTGTGAATTAAAGCACTGGATTCCGGAAAAAGAAATGCACTAATTTATTTGTCTTGACTAGATAGAACATGTGAAGGGTACCGGGGAATAACGACAATAGTCCATCCGGACTGATTTTGAGAAAATCGGTAATTAAGGTTTACTTACTTGTTGGAAAGTAAAATTGATGAAAAAATAAGTCGTACAGAATATATTTGCAAAACAGTGTATTTATTGGTAAAATAGATTATACAAAATTAACTTTTACTCAAAACTAGTACGTAACAAACAAAAGATGATGTTCAACTCTGGACTCGTGCCACTTTTCCCTGCTTTAAGCGTCTATTGGCGGGTCATCGACATATTCATCACTGCTGTCTTCTGGATGATCAAGAAATATTAACTGTTGATAAAATGCCCTAGAATCTGCTCTCTCTAGAAATTTGGTCAGATCCTGCGGATCCTTCCATTTCTTACTTTTAATTCGGATTGGGCCCCTGGTAAAGTTTTCTCAATGTTTCCTCTTCTCGTTTTTGTTGATCTTTTTGCGTCTTTTTCAGATTCTTCCGAATTACCTTATCAAATTTAGAACTAGCATATAGGCCCATGTGTGTCGATTTGTGAAAAACTACGCGAGTATTCTGTTTACAAAACTTGAGCATCCTGACTGGTCGGGTTGGAAAGGGGCACTTCGTTGGATAAAAAGGCGATAAAAATGTACTCCAATCTTGAAAATCAAAATTTTTGCCACAATCAATGACTTCAAATGGTGTAGGTTTCACACGACAATTTTTCAATTCATCTCTCCAATCATCCGGTACCTCAGTGTATGGCTCTTTGGTTCACGAGACTCACGGATGTTATAAAAATAGTAATACAACATAGAACAGACATCGTCAGCTCCTTTCTTAGCAATAGATTCTTCGTAGGTATAAAAGATAGAATTTGAGTTTGACAGAATGTGGATGTTAAAACTGATGACATTTAGTTGCCGCCATTTGTCGTGATATTTGGACAGGGCAAGTTTTGTTGGTAATCCATCGTGATACTTTCGATAGCCGGGAACTTAGAGGCACGTTTGCGGTAAGTTCTCTTTAGACTGTAAAATCGCTCATTCCTTTTTTGATGTAGTGTCTTCTCAAGTATCTTTTTTTCCAAATTATTACTTGCTGACTGCCTAGTTTGTTCCGTGTGGAAATTTAAGGTAGCGGAAACTGAAGATAACTCAGCTTTTAAGGAATCACACGTACTACAAGTATCTTTTCGTGGATAACCGAACAATATATTGAAGTTGTTTTCAATGATTTCTGGGAAGGATTCATAGGAAATCTTGTTTTCAATATTGCCAATAGAATACATTTTGTGTACTTTTGCGATATTTAGATTTTCAGGTAGGTACAGCCGATGCAACGCCCCCTTTCCATATGGACTGATGCCGTTTTTCCATACACGCGCAGGGACTCATGCCATTCTTCCCCGGCACAGGGAATCTTATGGCTGTTGTTTTGTGAACCTACCTACCTTTTTACAATTTAAGAAGCTGATTACAAGATAGCATCAGGAAAATGCCACCAAAATAAGCTGAAAGCTCAATTTAGCCAAATAATGGACTAATGCCGTTTTTCCCTGGTACCCTTCATTTATGTACACCACTATTTATGTCTGACTACTTCTTATGTCGCGCCACTGACTGAACTATACTGCACTCTGCTCTACTGTACTCTGCTTCCCTCTACCGGCCGTTGTTCTATATAGTTCGGCGAGCGACAAAGTCTAGAATATTCGAGGTCACTTCGCGTCGACCGCTGGCGAGTAGGAGAGTCTGGCGCGGTCCCCCCAGATGGCGCCAACGGTACTATTTATTCTTCTTAAAACACCCTTATAGTCATTATAATATGGATAATTATCGAATAAACTTTATATCTCAATTATAAATAAAAGCTTTGACAATTGACACAAAATGGTAGTTGTACGTTTTTGCTGGCTTTCTGTGAGATATTCTATCATAATTCTATTTCGTAAACAGATTTTTATTACTTTCTTGATCAATCTTTCAACTATTGGCATCATTATTCGTTGTGGACTTCAAAATGGACCTAAATTTTGTGCAAGCATCAACAGCTTGAGAGAAAATTACCCATTACCTGAAGTACAAGTTGAGCATTCTTGATCACCTAGCAAGTAAAATGTCCCACTAAAATGACCTATCACTTTGAATATATCAATTTTAAACCAAAAATATTATTCTGTGAAAATCTCAATGTGCTACAAATATGTCTTTATGATTTTTTTGAAAATACCCTCAATACCCCTAGGGACAACAGTTACTCACCTTATTCAGTTCTGCCCTTTTTATTCAGAAATAATGGAAGAAGCAGTAGACAAGTTTTTATAAGGCCTCAAATAGGTTACAAAAATGTCTATCAGCTCTTAGACTATAATTTAAGACAGGACACATGTAATAGATTACATACCTTGAGGTTCAATAATGTCTTGTATCAAACTCTCATCTTTTTGTAAGCTTTCAGTAGCATTTTGACTTTGCAAACATGTGTTGACCAAATCCATTCTTTTCCTCTTGACATATGCTCCTCGAGAAAGTCCAGCATCAGACAGTGGTCTTTTACGATCTTCTTGACAATGAAATTTTGTTGGCACAGCATCTTCTGTCAAAAGTATCTTCTTGCTGAAACCCATTTTGTACTGCATGTAGTTAATGGTGTCTTTTTCCATCTGCAATTCAACATAACTATCACTATGTAATAAGCAAAGTAGGTAAAATGACCCAGCATAGAAAATTATTGAGATATGTAGGTAGCTAATATAATCAAAACAACAGAAAACATTTTGAAACCCTACAGAGTAATAAGTTTAGGGTTAATAAACAGGATCTTTGTTCCTCAACACTGACTTATCCTCAACATAACCAAAGATACATTTGAGGTTATAGATAGTTATATATTATTTCAATCTTAAAAAAAGCGGTAATTTAAGCTACCTAGTAGATAACATATTCAATTTATACTTACATCGAAGTGATCTTCACACATAAATACATTTGAAGTCGATGAAATGCCCTTTGGGTCTCTCCGAGCTAATAGTAACCACTTTTTTCGTCTTTTACAATCGGTTGGAACAGAAACAAACAATGTTTGTGGACTATTTATAGACGTATTCGTACATTTTGGCACTACACACCATTTATAGACCATTTTATCTATGATTTTATAGCAAAATCAAGCACAATAATGAAATTAACTTCGGCTGACAGCTCGTGACCGTGTTTACTGGCGTGTGACGTCACAGACGTCATCTGCCGGCGCCATCACAGGAATAGGGTTTTTGGCGCGGTTCTAAAAATTCAAACTTTAAATTTGATTTCTATTAAAAATAGTATAGATTTTCAGGAAATATTCATGTAGTGTGCTCATTATATTTAAAAGAATAATTTAAAATGATTTGGCAAAATTAGTCAAATAGCCTATACAATATTGATAAGACTTGAATCAACAGATAAAAGCAAGGCTGCCAGATCTCCAAGTCGATTATGGTGTAAGTTTTGTAAGGTTCTTATTTGTTCAACAATTTTGATATCAATCCATTGTACGAGAATCATGATGTCAAGTACCCATACATCTACATGTGCTGAAAAATCACCATAAACAGGGAATAATTTTAGTTTCTGGAGGGTTGAGAATGTTTAGAACGACCACAAGAAAATCCGTTGTTTTTGCTGCCACATTTTGCGGCGAGGCAACGTGTCGATTCGCTTTATATATGTCGTCAATAACCAGAAATGTAAACAAAGGGGTCTATCCTCGTGTTAAAGTCGATGGTTACGTGATGCGCGAATCGTAGTACCGTATAGAATGCACCAAAAAAGGAATCCTAAATTATAAGTACTTGTGAAATAATGTAACATCTGAAACTTATCATATAGTCAAACAAACATGGAGAATTATCGTGAAATGATATTGTGTCAAATAGGTCTTAAGCTACGTTCTCACGGGGCAAAATGACAACAGCGTGGCACGCTTTCGGTGTGTCTTTAGTGCGTCTCTTCTTCAGTGGGAGTGAAAAATGAACCAGCGAGGGTCGTGGATAGTTTACGTGATTACGATTCAGTTTATTCCATGAAGCCGACCAGGAAGGAGCTTTTGAAACATATGCATGAAAGTCAATACTTGCTTCAATTTGCAAATGTACCAAAATGTTTACGTAAGCATGAGAAGGGGGTGAGAGATTTGCTTACTTTTGCCGACAAGAGGAGGAAGGGGTTAATAATTGTAAAAAATCTGCTAACCTAATACTTGAACAGCCCTAAAAACCACAACAAAATCCGACCACAGAATACCAGACGAGAACGTGGTGAATGAACAGTTTGATTCAGATCAAGGAGAGGTAATTATCCATTTAGGTACTGTAATGTTTTATGAATAAGAAGCTTTAAGTTTTCTACAGGGTGTTGTTGTCTGTTGTGACTATTACTGTATCATTTTATCTTGCCAGCTCAGAGCACCCTCATGACCGAAGTAATTCGTAAACAGTAGTCTAACTTGTTTTGCTTCATTGTTACTCCCTCGATTGTAACCACGCTTCAGTCTTGTCATTCCAGTGCTTTCTAATCCTAAATCTATTGTGCCATCTTGTATATTTTCACTGTAAACGTTATCTTCTGGTACATATGCAGTTCCACATTTTCGTCTTAAATAATTATGTAAAACTCATGCGGCCATGACTGCTTTTTCAATACCTTCTAACTAATGGAAATCGCTCCTTGAAATATTCTAAAACGCACACTCAGTATGCCAAAAGTATTTTCAACTATACATCTTGCTCGTAAAAGCCGATAATTAAAAATTGTTCGGTCATGATTAAGTTCTTTCTGACCAAATGGTTTTACAAAAGTCGCAGCGCAAGGAAAATGCTTCATCATCTATGAAAACGAATGGCATTATAACTTTACTGCCTCTAGGTTTTCTTTGAGGCGGTAAAGATGAATTCCCATTTTTTAGTTTCTGATAAAATGTAGTGTGGTCAATAACACCTCTATCAGATATTCGACCATTTACTCCAAAATGAACCATAATGAACTCATAATTTGCGTTGACTATAGCCATGAGCACTAAACTATGTCCTCCTTTGTTGTTATAGAAGTAAGAACTACTTCCAGCAGGGGGGAGCATATTAACATGTTTGCCGTCAACGGCTCCTACGCAGTTTGGGAAGTTACATTTCGTTTCAAAATCATCAGCAATTGCATTCCATTCATCCTCTGTTGTAGGAAACTGCAAAAATATTTAAATTAATTTACAGTCTTTTTGTCATTCTGTTTGGTCGAGTTTGAGAACCGTTATGTGCAGCAGGTTGCTACTCTGGTTGCCTGTATGGGCACATTACAATATGCAATATTTAGGAAAATTGTTTTTCTTTATTTAGAAGGTTGACACACTGACAACTGAGTTTTAATTCGAAAATGTTATCCTTAAAGTTTCAAAAAACTTCAAGCAATTTATTACATCTTTATTTTAGGAAATTTGGAATGCATCACAATCTGAAAGTGAAGGATGTGGTAGTTCATTACAAAGCTCATTGGATGCCCGACCAAGTACTAGTTATGGAACTCACGGAGCAGAACACGATACTGAAGGATTTAGAAGTGCGGTACAGAGCCCATTAAGTAGTAGGTCTGGCACCCATGGAAACAAATCGTTAATTCCACCTACAAGTCATTCTACAAAGAAACGTAGAGCTAAAGCAGATGCCCAGGCCGACGAAGTTCTTGCTCTTGTTTTAGAAAGGCTGAAGTGCAGTATTGAAGATCAATGCACCAGTTTCGGAAATAATGTTGCAGCAAAATTGAGAACTATTCCAAGAGAAACAAAGTTATACACGGAAAAGCTCATCAATGACCTATTGTTTGAAGCAGAAATGGGTCGTGTTACGCCTCCCCAGCAAAGTGTGTCACAAAATTCATTTCATACCTGTTCATTTCAAAAACCACAAGAAATGCAACCAATAAAACAGGTACCTACTGTTCAGCCACTTGACAACGATGTGTGCGAAACAGATAACCTTGCCAGTTTTCTAACTAACTTTCAACCAAACTAATATTTTTTGGCTTTGAATGTATTTTTCCTTTTTTTCTCAAACTTTTATGTTAACTTTAAATACTTATCATGTTTATGTTTATTTAATTATTAAAAATTAACATCCTTAAAGCAGCATTAAATGGGGGCTCGCGAAATCGAGACCAAATAAGTCCTATTCAAAAGATAGAGAAAGCTATATCATTGCTTTTTTAGATCGACTCGTGAGCCCCCTAATAATAACGTATTATTTTATTTAGTAGTGCATACCTTTAGATACTCATGCTTTAATACCTCATAAATAGCATTGCAGGTCTCCGGAATCATTTTACTTAGCGATTGAGGTGAGATGATACTAGAAAATTTCAAATTTTCGTAGTTCCTGCCAGTAGCTAGGTACCGAAGGGTAACAGATAGTCTTTCATGAGGTGATATGGCAGACCTCATGCACGTGTCTTGTTTCTGGATCAGTGGCGTTACTAAATTTAAAAGTAATATATAGCTATCGTCATCCATGCGGAGATAATTTCGATAATCATCCGGTTCTAAACGAAGTTCTTCCAGTAGATTTACGTGTGAGAATCGATCACGCTGCAACAACCATTTCTTTACCCATTTACTTCGTGGCCTGCGTGTATTCATTAATAGGTTTTGTTTTTTCTTGACTATACACACGCACGCCACTGCTAATAAATTTAAATCAATATCACTTACTGTCGCCATGTTTATTAGCAAGCTGGACAGTAACTGTTCTTTACGTGTATAGGCAATTCGAATAAAACGTATGTATATGTACGCGCGTACTTGTACGTGTGAAGGCCGGTACAGACGCTACGTTTTGTACCCACAGACGGTAGCACCGTTTTTCCGATTCATTTTGTTCCCTACGGTAATATCAATCTTATGTAAAATAACGAGAGTGCGTACACCACTACAACCGTCATCGGCCGTTGACGGTTGTAGTTGTGTTAAAAACTCAAAAATAATCGACATTTTAGAAAACGGCTAAGACTGAAGTAGCATTGGAAATTGATAAAACGATTGCAAGAGTGAAAAAATGGAGCAATTTAAGAGACCAATATACTGAAATGTATTATAAAATTCTAAAATAAGAACTTGATGGAGGAATTTTAAATCCTCAAAAAGGTAGTGAAACTCACCCAGTTGTTTTCTGTGCATAAGTATTTCATTAACCCACACACGACGTCGACGAATTAAATGTCGGTTCGAATTTTCTCGAAAATGCATCTCTTCGAAATCGTCCATTTTAAAACACGTCTTAACTCTCCTAGTCCCGGTTTTAGTGTACGCGTACTGTTAGTTTCATCAGGCGACAACGGCTGACCTTCGGCAACGTGCTCGGTAGTTTCTCACAGAATTTATTGCATTATACGAAAGTTTCCCATTCATTTGGCGTGTCACATCCAAGGAGTATAGTGACAGGAATAAAAAAGGGGGAAGCTTATGAGCGTTTAGTGGAAAAATTCAAAGAAATTGATGCAACTGCAAACACGCTATCTCTTTGAACGCCGTGTACTTCTGAGACGTTCCAATATTTTTTTTAACGAGATACCATACCAAATTGACCAGAATACCTCTTTCATGACGATATCATACACAATTGAGCGAACTATACAGATATCTCTGCATCATGTAGACGCTTTAAAAATTGCAACGTTTTCATTCCGTCCTAAGACATCACAGACAAAAGGTTGTGCAAAGCGTAGCGTCTGGACCGGCCTTTAGAAAAAGAAATGCAGGTAGAAACTGGATTTTCTTATATTATACTTATACAGGGTGGGCCATAAAGGTGTTGACAATTTCAATATTCAATTAAAAAATAACTACGCAATATAAAAGAAAAATAAATGTATTTTTAAAAAGTAGAAAGATAGGAGTTTTTAAGACTTAAAAATAATGTTGTTCAAATGACTTTCTTCGGCTGCTTGGCACTCTTGAAACCGAAGCTGCAGATTTTGGAAAACTCGTTCTCGGTATTCTGTTACTTTACAATATTCCTCTTCAGCTGCTCTAAATTAGCTGGAGTATTCTCGTTGACCATCGATTTGAGGTAGCCCCATAGGAAATAATCACATGGAGAAAGATCGGGGCTTCGTGGTGGCCATTCAATCTCCCCCCTTTTCGAAATGAGCTTTTCGGGAAAGACATTTTTCAGCAGCTCTATAGATACCCTAGCTGTATGACATGTGGCCCCATCTTGTTGAAACCACATTCTAGAGGTATTGCCTTGGAGTTCTTGCAAAGCTGGCACCAAAAAGTCTGTTAACATATTGCAATAATTGTTAGCACTTAACTGTCATCGCTTGCCTTTTTCATCCTCAAAACAGCACGGTCCAATAATACCGGTTGGCGTAATTCCAGCCCACACGACTAGTTTAGGGCTGTGAAGTGGACGTTCATGCAAGCGTCGGGGATTAGTTTCGGACCAGAACCGACAATTTTGTTTTGTTAACATGGCCATTGAGGTGAAGATTGGTCCCATCACTGAACATCAGGTTGTTAAAACTGTTGAATCGGTCGAGAATTGGGGACCTCGGTTGGCCGCGTGGGTCAGAGTGTCGTGCTACTGAAGAGCCGGCCAGCGGGGCCGCGAGTTCGAATCTCGCCTTCGCCATGGATGTTGTGTGTTTGTTTTAGGCAGCAGCGGTGGCCGCAGTAGTAGACTCTTCGGTCTCCTGATCAGTCGCCGTGCGCTGTGCGGGTTCGAGTCCCGTCCCAGGAGAAATTTTTCTCTTGGCTATGGATGTTGTGATTGTCCGTAGGTGGTAGATGGTCTCTGACTGTCGAACGCGGAGGTACCACCCGGCGGATCTCGTAGGCGGAGCCAGAATGTGTGCATGTTGCATGCACACGTGCTCCCTCGCCAGAGTCCGTGTGGCGTCCCCCCTTTCCCATGTATCCCCCTATAGCCCCACGGTACCCAATGGGTGCTTAGGCCTTAGGCCTTCGTGGTAGTTGGAGTATAAAAAAAAAGCACCACATTGACACAGTTATTGGCATCATCTGGTTTCAATTCTTGGACTAGTTGAATCTTATAAGCCTTCAAATGCAAATCACGCTTCAAAATTCGCCGCAAGCTCGTTCTTTTGATGTCCAAAGCCTGACTTCTCTTGTTTTGACTGTTGCGAATTTCGCTGAACTGGAACACACTCTACATTGTCGGCTAATCTTGCAGAAACTGGACGACCACGAGCTGTTATTGCTACTGTCGAGCCGGTTGTTTCGAACATTCTGATCCATTTCCGTATCACATTGGCGCTTGGAACTTCTCTTAAATCGCGTAAACCGTGTTCATGTCGATACAAACGTCGTGCAGTAATAACCGATTTATTGTTTTCATAATACGCTCGGACACAAAATGCACGCTGTGCTCCCGTGTACGGGTCCATGGCGACTAAATTCCCAGGCAACGGCGCGGCTAACAACTTATCGCCCCTCCCAACCCGCGCCCCGCGTTTCCGAGAAATTTAAGATTTAAATCGCCAACACTCTTATGGCCCACCCTGTACTATTTCATTTTTCTTGAGTACCCCCAGAGGTAGGCGGAACACGCCAGTGCTTGACAGTCAGGTTAAGGTATGCTTACATTGTAACAAGTTGCACGCAAATGTGCCGAGTGCAACTTGTGGGGCAACATGTGATTGTACGTTGGTAATATGTGTTTGGCACATTTACTTCGATTCCTGCAACATCTTGTCCATACAAAAATGCTGGGTATATGTTGCAAACTGAAATGTCTGGCGCAATTTTCTGCTTCTGTAGCAGTAAGAAGATGGAGCTAACAAAGTACCTATGCATTTGGGCTCTCATCACCGATCAAGCGCGAAATCTGGAGAAAACTTAACATTTACCTGTTAGTTTAAAGAATATTAAAACGTGGATCATACAAATTTCAAAACACAGCGCGTAACGAAATCAGTGTTAATTCTAATAATTACCGTCTGTTTGAAGAGAGACTTCGACAGTAGACGGCCTTCCAAGTGATAGAAATATATCCGGATTCACATTCTTCCGTAGTCTTGTACGACTTTTGTTAGCAAACATTTTTTGTGAAAAATGTTCACCACAAACTCTGTAGGAAGTGTTGTGCAAATTTTGTATCTTTGGCAGCAAGTCTTCTCTGTTGCATGCTTTTATCCAAATCTTTGCCCTAAAAAATATATATGTATTTCACTGAAGTGTTAATTTAGAATAATCTAATCTAAATTATATCAAGATACACAGGGTGATTCCAGTCCGACTTCCACGCCATGGAATTGTCTTTATTTAATGCTGGTCCTATTTTTGATATAAAATTTAAACGTACGGCTTGGAATGATTAAATTTTCAGTTCGGTTTTAATTTCTTTCCATCTTTTTAAATCATTATTGTGTTCGCATACGGGCATCATATTGAAATTTTTTATGGATGCAATATTCAATTGCAAAGGACCTAAGCCTTAATTGTGTCGAAAAACTGTGTTTGCTTATGTATCTCGGATTCTTTCTTAGTAGTAACTATTTATGTCATCGCAAAAAAAAAGATCTATGACCGACCCATACAACTACAGGCCTACAGCTCTGCTTTCTGTTATAAGTAAGTTGATGGCGAGGTGCAAAAATCGGGAGCTTCTGAAGTACCTCGAACGTCGTTGATGGGTTCTCTTCTTCATTCCACAACGTAACGCGGGTATCCCCGAAGTATCGGTTTTGGCTCTGACATTGTTCCTCTGACATATCAACGACCTTCTTTCTTGTAAGGTTAATCCAACCGACGGTTTTGTACTCTACTTACAGGAATTCAGAGTGACTAGCCGATCTCTGCCGTTGAGCTGAAGAAAAGAAGACTATCGGCAACTTCTTCTGTGTCAAGAGACCACTGCTTGGGGACGTTGCAATGTTGAACAGTTTAATGCTTCCAAAACCCAGTACTGTACCTTGACGAACAAGAAGCGTCCTAGAGCTCAGCCGGGTTCAATGGATGGCCGAGTTCTACGAAAGAGCCGATTATTTTGGCTGGTAGGAGTCCAGATCACCGAGCTCCTGATCTGGCACGAACACATCTCGTCAATAGCGGCAGCTGCTGGGAAAAAGCTAGGCTATTTGTTCAGGGCTAAGAAGTATTTTCTCCACATGACGTCCTCACTCTGTACATAGCACAGATAAGACCTGTCCTCAAGTATTGCTCACATGATTGGGGTGCTGCCGCCCTGACTACATTATCCATACTCCATGATGTTCAGAGGAGGGCTGCCCAACTGATCGATGTCTCTTATCTAATGGATAGTCTCGGGACCCTTTCGGAGCGGCGAACCGTCGTCGATCTAGCTCTCATCTATCGTTACACCAATGGGCTGTCTCCTTTGTCCCTAGGGTATCGAGGTTGTACATCTTCTACATGATGAGGTTTTTCCCAACTCTATTAACCTTATGCAGTTCAAAAATCGCATTAACAAAGTTTCTTCAAGCTTCTCAGAGCAGTCGCGGTGCCCTGCCTTTTAGGGTTCTGCCTGTGCGGCAGGTCCGGTGCAAAAAAATATGTAACTGTTCCCCACTATAAAAACTGGTCTATCACTTCCAGTTTCTGATATTCCGTGATAGGTTCGAATTTGAATCATCCTGTATACATTAAATCATAAGACTTTTCAAAAAAGGCCCCCTTCATATTGCTGGGCGAGCCAAATTCGTAAGCTGAAATTCTGGATGATGAAATTGATTTTGACGAGAAATTGGCAGTTGAAAATTTCAAAATTCAAAGCTCTTTATGCGTACTTCATAGCCCTGGACTAAACTGGCATACTTAAGTAAAAGGCAGTCAACTTAATTTACTAGCAGTCAACTTCATTTACTGCCTTGTTTAAATTATGATATCATTACATTTCTTTTCTTAAGTTTCTTTTCTTTCATTAATTTAAAAAAGGCAGTAAATGAAGCTACTTAAGTCCGGCAACATAAGTTCACTATCTTTCAAAATGGCTAACCAGCAAACTGCATAAGTTGAAAGTTTTTGTGCATTGAATCGCGCACCATCTGCTGAGGCAACGCAAAAGGAAACGAGGGTGGGCTGGCAATAGACGGTCGTCGGCGCTACTTTAAAAAAAGGAAAGGATGACTGCGGGTGCATACCAAGATGAATTTTTATAATAACAGAGTCGGATTTCGATTAGCGATCTAGCCTGTAAATCCTTTCCTATTTTTTTACTCAGCAAGTGATCATTTAGTATTTTTCTCCCCTTGTTACTGTTCGTCGATATTATGTTGTTGAATTGTTGTGCTGTACTCTTGTTGGTATGATTGTTCTTGAGTGCCTTTTTTATCATCGTTGATAATGGACAATAAAAGGTCATTTTTGATCATTTTAAATACAAATGCAGTGAGTTTAATTCATGTTGAGGTCAACAAAGTGTGGAGCAGTTCAACTCTATAATCGCAAAATACTCGTACATTCGGGAGTAAGCGAATAAATTATTGCAAAAAAAGGTTATACCAGAAGATGTGCTGCAGCTGTAGTGAGCCACAATACCCAGCGGCCTGTCTATGTGGTCCAAATACATTTGCGTTTTAAGCTTAGTCCAACCTCACTTATCGCTAAGATGGAACAAAAACTCAAACGCAAGAATCTTGAAAAGAAACTCAGGCCAAAAAAAGCTGATATAAAAATAACTTACAATTCGGATAGCAATTCCAAAGAAAATGAATAGTTTTATATCGAATTCTGTCAAAAACCTGAAATGAACGACATTGATTTGGAGGTTGCTAAGCAAGAATTTTTAGGGAAACTTAGAAAAAGTGACGACGAGATTTTGAAGATCAAACAAGTCACCAAATCACAGGACTGTGCTTTGTGGCGTCTTCAGCGGAGGATAAGGTTGACAGCGTCTCGATTTGGTGAAGTTTGTAGAAGGAGGCAGACATCAAGCTGCAAAGTTCTAGTAAACTCCATCATATACCCAACAGAGTTTTCTAGTAGGGCAATAAAAAAGGCGATACAAAAATCATTGGACACGGCAGTTCAATCTTGTGGTTTGTTTATTGATCGCACACATCTCCATTTGTGGCAGCATCACCTCTATCTACCTATTACAGTAGACAAGACATGTACTTAATCCAGGTATATGTTTATTGTTTTGCAAAAACTACCTGTTTCCTCTTATTTTGACGGCATAAGATATTTTTATGACCCTCCTTCAATTGTTGCCCTGCACCACATGACCCTTGTAAACATAATTGTGTTTATTGACATGAATAAACGAATTTGAATTTATTATACTAAAGATATCAAATTATTTGAATACATGTTTTCTTAGCCGGAACGCACCGACGCGTCGCTTGGACTGGCAGGACGAATTTCGCCCAAAACCCGATTTGCACTTCACAGCTTACGTTTCATTTTTTATTATTTCCAAATGAAACTCTTGCAGCGTGCTAAAAACAAAGTCCACAGGGTGCTAACGATCCACTTTTTCGATTTTATCCACTAGGATCTTTTTGAAATATCAAAAAGTTGAGGACAAATAGTAAGCACTTCAACCCACCATAATGCTTGCACAAAGACATTTTTTTTTAAAAAGCTCTGATAGCACCGTAGCTAATTATGTTCTGCTTATATCCAGAAAAACATCACAAACTGCAGAACAAAAATTGAAGGTAACGGCGAAATGGGTACATTTCACGGGTCATGAAATTCAAATGAAAATGCAGGTATAAAATCTACCAAATTATCGTTCTCAAAAACAAATTTCCTTGACATACCGATAATTTTAAAGTTCCACGCTAAATTCCCCTATACTTGACTGGAGTGATATCAGAATTCGTTCTTCTCTACTATCGGCAGTTGCAGATAGATCTGTTGGCTCTTGGTGTCAAACCTCTAGAGCAGGTACCGTTTTTTTTCAAATCGTCGGATTTTCGTTACATAAATTTCCTGTAATCACTGGAACAAGAAGCTTCTTAATAATAGAACATGTTTCAAAGATGCAACATTTAGAATCACCTTCCCCCAACCCCCACTTTTTAAGCAGTACCATTTTTTATGTCAATGATAAGGAACCCCTGTAACGTTAAAAACGGAATTTCAGCAATTGTTACTTCTTCTTTTTTGCCTATAGCACCCTTGCCATTGGACTAAAACTACAAAGCTTTGGCATACTAGTAACCCCGTGTGGAAATTTCAGTAAAATCCGAGCGGTAATGTCCAAGTTGATGATGAGTGATATAGTTTTCCGTGATGTAGATGTCATATGACTTAAAAAACATAACATCTCATTTTAGAAATTTTTCGCGATTACAATTTCTCGCCACTGGCGTGGGAAGTAAAACGGCTTTAAAATCGATGAGTATCAGCGATCGCGATTATAAGTATCTATTTGCAGAACGACTTATCTGTGCGATATTATATGAAATAGGGCCATCAAATTGTCTGAATACGTCCTTTCTTAGTCCGTACATTGCGCCGCAACGTTTGGGTTGGCAGCACGAAACAGTAGACAAAATACGATTTGTAAATTGACGCTTTATGTTTTGATATTCTTGAATGAAACTTACATAGTGTGCTGAAAACAAAACCCCACAGGGTGCTATAGAGCCACTTTTTCATTTTTTTCACTAGATTCTTTTTAAAAAAATCGCGAAGTTGAACAGAAAAAGTGCGCTCTTCAACTCATCATAAAACTTGTGCAAAAACAAAATTTCAAAAAGTGCTCCTATAGCACCCTGGGCAATTATCTTCTCAACATACTGTATGAATTTCATTCAAAAATATTGAAAAATGGAGTGTCAGTTTCGAAGCAGCTGAACCCTTGTAAATGGCTTGAAACTCACTGCGTCGGAGCCGACTTAAAAGGTAAGTTTTGTGTATTTACAAACTTCGGTTACCATTTTTATTTAATTTACTAAATTGTTGAGTGGAGACGCGTTCATAGATCGGCCATTGGGTTTTTTTACCACATCACAATCAAACCAACGTGGCGAAATAATTTTGAAACGATGTACTTTAACTACCTAATATTAATTCCAAATGTATTTAAAATTACTATTAAACGTCAACGTTCCTACAAAAATATAAATCTCCCGCCAATATAGTGCTGAATACATTACGCTATTAAGATAAAATAGGGCATATATAATTAGTAATTACATGTAGGTATTTTGTTTATTTATTTGTTACTGATTT